CGGCAGCGAGTGAGCACGCCGGGACCGTGCCGGGATGCGGTGCTTGGCCTGGGGAGTGCACAGGCTCTCGGCTCGGCGCAGGGGCAGTGAGAGAGAGCCCGTGTCTGGGCAGTCCTTCAGGTCCCTCCTCAAGACGAGCTGGCTTTTGCTCTTGAACAGTTTGTAGATCTTGTTGGTCAGCGTGTGTCTGTATTTGTGGTGGGCCTTCTCCACCTTCAGCTCCGACCTCCCCACCATGTCCAGGGAATTCTCGTCACTGTCCTCTGCGTACCCACTGTCCATGCAGTCCCTCAGGCTGGAGACAAACGACTTCAAGGACTTCCTGGAGACCACCGTCAGCTCTGAGATGGAGTCCTTGGAGGTGGTGAAGAGAGACACTCGTGAGGGCTTAGATCCCTCCTCCGACAGTGCCGAGTAAACAGAGTCTTTGGAAATGGCACAGATGGGGGAAAGCAGCGAGTCCCGCCCGGGAGAACAGCCATCGGTTTCCACCTCCTCCTCTTCCTCCTCTTCATCCTCCTCCTCATTCTCCAAGGCCATGGGCTCAACGACACTGCACTCTTTGCTGAGGACATCATTGAGGATATCTGAAAGGCACCCGGAGGGAAATCACATCTGGCACAGGCTCCAGCCTAACCATGGGAAACGTGATGACCCCTGACAACAACACTACTGCAGCATGACCAAAGCTCTCTGATCCTGCACGGTTTCCATCTCGGAGCAGAAAATCTACTGAACCTTTCTACATTTCCATAAGGCACTCAGACAATGCAAAACAAAACATGTTTCTCTCCTTGAGGTCACATTCTGTTTGGGTTCTCGAAAGGCAAACACCAGTTGGGGTTTTGCTTCCTTCCTACACAGATTTCACAACACCTCATGTCCCGTACGGGTTTAACTGGACGGCAGGAGGAAGCAAGGTATTTGGCTAATCAAACCTCAAATTGCCCCGCTGTGGGCAGCCTCCTGACAAGGCTGGACTCACTGCAAAGCCCAAGCCAGAGCTCTGGTCCAGCTTGCTGAGGTCAGCAGGCAACAAACACTAAGCTTTCTTGGGAACAGAAAAGGTCTTCCAGGAATGGGGAAGCCGGAGAGACCAGCTCAGCAGAAGGGGAAGCCGCTGCTTCCCCTGCAAAACTGCTGCGGCCAGGCCAAGAGCATGACAAAGGCACCCACTCCTCGGCCATCCCTGCTACAGGTGGGGGAAGAGCTGTAATATCCAAGGGGTCTCAAGCCCAGAACCCCCCAACGCCTCACTGTGGTCAGGCTTTTCTAGTAGCAATTACTTCCAGGGCACGAGCAAGGTTTACTCCTTGCAGAGCAGCTTTCTACCAAACAAGGTCTTTGTCCTGCCAATATCCCTACAGACCTGGGTGCGACAAGCCTCCTCCAGCTTACTGCAAGGCACAACTTTGCCCAGGATTATTAAGCCCTGCATAATTTGTCTCTGGCAACAGGTGTTTTGGGGCTACCACAGCCTTGTGCCCACTGCTTGGAGGAGGGCTTTACTTGGGATCCCAGCAGGAGTCATGCCCAAGCTGACACCCTCATCCTCTCCCATCTAGGGGGGACTGGCCCCCACAGCGTTACCGCTCCTCCAACACCAACAATATGTTACTGGCTCTCTCAGGCTCCAGCCACAGTTTGTGCCATGCCCTCCACTGCACGTGGCAGCCCCAGCGGAGTTGAAATGCTGCTCAGCAACCCCTGTGATGGGGAGCAGTGGGCTGCAGTACCACTAGGAGGGGTGGGGGACCCCCTCTGCTTACCAAAGTTATCCTGATCCCAGCTGTAAGTGTAGCAGCGAGCGGCAGGGATGGGGATGGTGTGGAGCTTGCGGGGCTGAGCCTCACCTGGAAAGAGAGGAGGGAGAGGAGTTAGTTTGCGGGGAACCCCAATACACTCCTGACAGCTCTCCTGGCCGGTGAGAGATGCCACCCACCCCAAGCACATGTTTTGGGCAGCCCAGGTCATGCAGAACACCAATGCTGCTGTCGTTATCCCCAACAAGTCACATGTGACTGGGACGAGAGGACATTTCACACCTTTAAGGGCTATCAGGAATCACTGCTACCACCGGTTTCTGATCTACAGTTTTCATCTCACCCGTAAAGGCTGGAGACATTTTTTTTGTTGTTGTGGCTTTAATGAAACATAAGAAACAATTTCTGGCTCATCACACGGTTATGAAATAGGACCTGGTTGAAACTTTGCATAAAACAGGGGGTTTGCACCTCAGAGGGCTGGCTGCCAGTGCCCAGGGTGCAGGGGAGCTCACTGCTGCTGCCTGAGATGAGCCAGCAGAAAACCCTGGGGGTAAGAGGGGCACAGGGTGGGATTCTCACCTGCGATGGCAGGAAAAGATGCGGCGCCGGCGATGCCCCGCAGCACGTTCTGCAGCCGCTCCCGGGCCAGGACAGGGTCGCTGCTGGCAGCTGCAATTTCCTGCGCGTCAGCAGCGCTGGCATAGATCTCCAAGAGCTCTTCCAGTGTCTTGGACTGGGGGGAGCAGAGCCAAGGAAAGAGATCAAGTGGGTCCCTCCACACAAGTTTTAGGGGAAGGTCACTACCTACACCACCGGATAAATCTCTCCCCCTCCTCTAATACGTATCCCCTCATGGCCCCTGCAAAAACTTCAGCAAAGAAGGAAAAAAAAAAACCCTGTTTGAACACACCTACGGGTTTTTCTTCAAAAGCTTTTACCTCCCCAAACACCAAAGCAAAGTGTTTCTCTGGTCAAATAAACACTTTTGCTGCATTTCAAATCCACGTGTTCCAGATATGGGGAAAGAAGTAAAGAGGAAAAGGCGAGTTAATCACACCCCACCACCACACTCAACGAAACAGAAGCACAGACGTCAGGTCTAACCTGAGAAGAGAACGGAAAGGCACATATTTTTTACCTACAAAGTGTTATCAAAACATTTTTTCTTTTGTCCATCAGGTATTATTATGGCCAGAAAATCGACCAGCCAACTGCACAAAACTGCTTCCAACGGCACCACGGTACTGCCGAAGCTCTCCTTGCCTACCTTGAGGAGGTGGTGCAGGCTGTCCAGGTCGCAGCAGGTGCCGAAGCTGGCCTGGTAGAGGTGCTCGAGGAGCAAGACAAGCGTGGCACGCTGCGGGTGCTCGCTGGCACTCAGCTTCTCGGCGATGGAGAGGAACTCGCTCTGCACCTCCGAGCGATTAAGCAGCAGAACCGTCCTGGGGACAAGGGGACTGTGGTTAGTCTGGGCAGCCACTCAGATGCTGGTGGCACAGGAAACTCTTGAAGAAATTCACTCTAGATGGCAGCATCCTCTCACATCAGTCACAGCCAGAGAGTCGCTGGGCTGTGCAGGGGTGCCAGGCCCACGCTGCAGTGCTAGCCAGGAGCAGGGAGCAGGTAAGGGGTGAGCAGCCTCCATCCTGCCCCTCGGTGCATCCCTGCCACCACCCCTCCTGCCACATCTGCACTATCACCAGCCCAGTAATGGTTTGACCAGCCCCAGACAGGGCTCCAGCACAGCAGATTGTTGTCCAAACTGGGCATCCAGCACATGCGATGAAACAGAGGTGCGTAGAAAATGAGAGGGGCCCCCCAAACACCTTCACTCTGAAAGGTGCAGGTCAGAGCATCACTTCTGGGCTTTAAGGAGAAAAGCCACGTACTTCAGCTCCATTTTTGCTCTGGACCACAAAATGAACATCCATAGGCTTTGAATTCCCAAACCTGAAGAAAGGAGACCTCTGGCATGCTTAGTTCTAGAAAGCTCAGGCAATGGGCACAAGCCTTCAACAAGGTCAAGGTTCAGCTTGTGTACGGCTTTGTGCCAGCTTTCAGGGTTTTTTATGCAAACACAGCCATCGTGCTGGTAAGTCACCAGCAGCTGCACGTGTACCAGTCCAAGTCTGTAGAGCAGGGGATTCGTACTGGGAAAGCAGCACAGCAGCACCAGCACAGCTGGGTGGGATACAGCTGCAATCCAGAGCTGCACGGCATGGGTGGACAAGCTGGAACAGCAGGACAGAGAGTAGCGGTGGCTGTGCACGAAGGACTGTCCCTGGGACATTGCAGCCAGGCAGGGCACACACCACCCAGGCTCATTTTCCTATTTACAAACGAGGTGCCCTGGCAGGAGGCAAGGTTCAGCCCTCAGAGAGGGTGCAAAGTCTGACTACGCTCCGAGCCGCAAGGCTTTCATTAATTGCTGCTCTGGGACAGACTCGCTTCTGATCCCCCTCGGGCTGGTGGCTCCCAAACACGCAGATCAAAGTGTCTCCTGGTGGTTCTCCAGCCTGTGCTGAAACCAGCAGTTCCCTGCAGAGGAGACTTTGCTTTCACTGGCCATTTGCACCCAGACCTGCAGCCCTGCTGAGTGCAGGGCTGAGTGCAGGGCTGCAGGATAACCGACATGGGTAGCTCAAAGACCCTGACCCACGGCTGTGGAAATGCCACATTTCCCTCCTCCCTTCCCACAGCGCAGCCCAGCTATCCAGCTCTTCTCCCTGGCACCCACCACTACACCTCTGGGATGCTGCTCGCTGCAGCGTGGATGGTACATGTGGGTGAGGATGTCACAGAGAGGGTCACCAGCAGTGTCCATGGCCACACTTACACGGTGGAGCTCTGATAGTTCTTCACGGACAGCCCTTGCTCTGTCCTCACCAGCCTCTGGAAGGAGATCCCTGGGGAGAGAGCAGAGGACAGGAGACATGGCACCACTGCAGACCACACTGCTTCAGAAGCTCCCAATGTGGTCATTACCCGGCTGGACCACAGCCTACAGGAGGCATGGCAGCACCAAAAGTCCTGATGGGGACAAGGCACCATGCAAGGGAACCAGCGGGGAGCCAAGGAGCCTTGGGACAGGAAAGGTGAAAGCCCAGGGGGATGGGTGGGCAACCAGAGGATGGAAAGAGAGAGCTGCTCCATTCCCAGTCCCTTCTGCCCCACTGCTGATGTGGGATCTGGTTTGAACTGCACAGGTGATATTTAGCAGCTTCTGCCACTTGCTTTAGCCCCCCCCAGGCGCTGGATCTCACAGGGACAGCTTTTCACTGCCCCCTTCCCTCAAGCAGGCATAGAGCCCAGCCTGGCCCCAGCAGAGACGAGGTTGGCATAAGCAGCTCCTGTCCCAGGATGCCTCTGTGGGACCACCCCCAGAATGCCAGCAGGAACCCCAACTAGGCAGTGTCTGATGGACCTGGACTGGCTGGCGACAGCAAAGCCCATGTCACTCCCAAAAGGCATAAGGACCAGGGCACGTCTTGGAAAAGATCTTACAGCATCAACAATATCCAGCACCCTTAGTACTGAAGGCAGCCTCATCCCAACCCCAGATGCGGCTCAGCAGACAAGAAGCAGCACCCATGGGCACCCAGCACCCCTGGGCAGCTCATGTTGATCCACACAGGCTCCCTGATTACAGCAGTGTTCGCCCCTCTTGCAGAGACATCAGCCCCAGTCTGCAGATAAAAGCTATTGCATTCTCAGCAAACGCTGACAGCAGCTTGTTCTCAGTTAATATTTACCCTCCTCTCAATAAAAAGCTTTTGCTTCAACCCCACGGCAGGTCACAGAGGCTGGGCAACAAGCATATGAGCTCCTGGACAGCTTACCAGCAGGGGACACGTTTTTGCTGTTCTTGGTTCCAGCTGGGGGGACAGGCCATGGCGAGGGGCAGCATCAGGCTCCCCAGCCCTAGCAGGCCAACACCTCCCACACGGCATCTTTGAGCAGAGGTGGGGGAATCTCATGTACTTGTAGGAGGGGAAGAGATTTTGGACCAAAGTCCCCAGCTCATGCAGCCCCAGGCACTAGTGATGGTGGTGATGGCACAAGGGCACGATGTAGCAACCCCCGCCCCAGCACTGGGGCTTTCCCAGTGGTCTGTAAAACACAGTCCTGACTGGTGTCACAGCAATAAATGACCAGGAAGGAGCTGGGGAAGTCCATGCCTGCAGCAGTGTGGGATGAGCATCCCCACGTCCATGCTGGCCCTGCAGCTCTGAGCTGGAGGCTGGACACAGCACAACAGCCCAGCCAGACCTTGTCTGCGGCCAGGCTGGTGGAGCTTTGCGCTGAGGGTAAGCCAGCCAGTCCAGTGCCAATGCTGCAAAGGCTTTGGGGGTTTATTGTTCATTTTTCTGTTCCTTTGAAAGCATTTGCACCCTACTAGCTCCCATCTCCACAGGATGTTGCTGCCATGATGGAGACCTGTGTTTCACATGCCCATCAGGGCTCTCCAAAGCAGCTGTTGGATTTAAGGAAGGGGAGAAGCATCTCCAGCCTCAGCCATAGCCCACGTACCCATCTGAGACCTCCCCAGTCCCACTCAGAGCCATGGCCTTGCGCAGGATTAAACAAGGGCTGAAATCTGCTCCATGTGATAACAGCTCCCCATAAGCCACCAAAAGACAGGGAGATTAGAAGAAATGGCCTTTTAGAAATAATTGGAAGAGCTGCTCCATTGGGAACAACAGGACATCTATAAGGAGCCCTTAATTAAGAGGAACGCTGCTGCTGCCGATAGATGTGCCCAAAGCCGTATCACAAGGTAGTGCCTCGTCTGTAAAGAAAGAGCCGGGGAGTCCCTCAGCCCTATGGAAATCTCCACGCAAGGGCAGGCTCAAGGGCTCCAGCCACCTTGACGCCGATGAATGGACCCACTGTTATCACCCCAGTTACACCACCGAGCATCTCAAACAAAGCCCAGGGCTGGGCGGGAGCAGCCAGCACGTGCTTTGCCATGGAAAAGACCCCGCAGACTGAAAGGCAGCCAGGAAATCATTACATGTTTCACTAATTCACACTGGTCCAGAGCTGGTGTCCCTGGGATGCTCCCACCACCTGGCACGCAAGGCAGCCACCGAAAACACAGCCACACCATCCCGCCTGCTCCTCCAGAGGAACCTGGTCTCCCTCTGTGCTGGATCACCAGGGAAAATCATCCAGAGGATGGCAGGCAGAGGTCCTGGCCTCCTGGAAAAGCTGAGGCGTGGGACACACAAGGTAAACGTGGACACCACAACTCAGGAGATTCACGAAGCAAGGGGGTATGATACAGCAACACCAGGAGAGTCTCGGGACAAGCACGGGTGGCCACAGCAGCGGGTGTTTTTGGGGAAGCAGCACCAGCAGCACGTGAAAACCCCACGGCGGAGCAGGGGGCCTTACCGGGGGCCTTGAGCTCGTCACTGATGAAGGTGAGCAGCTCGCGGAAGATGTCGCAGTAGGGCACAGGCCAGGTCAGGAAGCTGTGGTATACACCAGCAGCCTTCAGGAGCAGGTCGGAGCCCGGTGGGAAGTGGGGAGCCTACGGAGAATGAGGAGACCTGATTAGAAAGGGAGCAACGACATGGGTCTCGAGCGCTGCGTAAAACCTTGAGGGTTTAGGCTGGATGTGGGAGGGGGAGAAATGGATCAGAGCAGAGATTCACCCTGTGACACCCCATTCTCTCCCAGGGAAGGGTCAAAGGGTCCCACTGGGCACAGCTCCGAGAAAGCTTCATCCGCTCTGCACCCTCCCAACCTCCCGGCTGTGGCTCACGTGCCAAAGCCTATATATAAATTTCTTTTTAACAACCACAAATCCATACAGATGAATCGCTTAACAGCCTGTGCTTTTGCAAGTTCTGGCAGCAATGATTTCCTTAGGATAATGATGCATTGTGCTAATAATAATAATAAAAATGTATTTCCTGTGAAGCCTCCGCTCCTTTTCATTAGTGTTGCCTATATATTTTGCACAAGTACAAAGGGTAATGAAAAAAATTTGCCTTCTCTGTCTGTCTCCCCTTCTGATTAACCTATCTTTAAATAAAAATATTAAAAACACTGAAGCGCTTTTTTTTTTTTTGTCGCTCAGCTTGTGCAATGGTTGCCTAGTCTTTATCCCTGTAGATTCATTCAGGATCTTTTTTTGAGATGAATGGATCAAAGCAGACCGTGATGTTTCAGACAAAAGCCACCCCGACTTCAGTGACTGCTCTGCGTGGCTCCGCAGGGCCCCGGACCCCCTGCCTCCCCAGGGGCTGGGAGCAGCATGCAGCAGCGTCAAAACTTACATACAGGACCGCATAGTAGAAAAGCAGAGCCAGGGGCGTCACGAGATCATAGTCGCATTTCTCCTGCACCTGTAAAAAAGAGCCCAAGGGCAGAAGCATAAGCTGGGCTGCTCGCCACAAGCACTACCCAAAACCATCTTGGGAGGTGCCGGGAGACTCCCCAACAGTGCGGCCCAACCCGCACCAACACATCACCATCCTCAGCAGATTCCCTTGTCTCCACGGGAAAATAATCCCCAAAACCCCAGTGTCCAACATCAACGGGACAGGCAGATCAGCACAGACCGCTGCTCTGCTTTTACCCTCAAGAACCTGGATTTGGCCAAGCCCCCAGCCCTCTGATGCTCCCAATCCTTTCAGACTTGCATTAAATTCTATGAAAGCGGCTCAAAGCAGGCAGTTTGGAGAGGCAAGCAGGCAGCCTCTCTCAGCTGCATGGTGCAAACCATGGATTTCTGTCCTGGCCTTTGTCAGTGAAGAGCCAGCAGAATTATTTCACCAAGGGACTTGGTGATGGCTTGAGGATACGCTTGCAGACAGTGTCTCTTGTTCATGAGCACAGCAGGAAGTGCAATAAACCCTTGCATAAGCATTTTATTACATTAGGGTTATCTGCAACTACAACAATTCCAGCCATTAAAAAAAAAAAAAAATATTGAACTGAATCATGCTAATCTTAACTGCTATCAGCTCACAGCCTGGCAGCTAGACAGCCTTTCTTTCCCAAAAAATGAAAGGCAGCGTTTACCCCATCACATGAATCCCAGCGCTGAGGATTTAGGAAACACATCACAAGGTCTTCCCAGTCACAGCCTGAGTCAAGGCTGCTCGACTGACGATGCCTCGAGCTTCCCCAGCACATGATGGGACCATGTGAAACGGCCCCACTGCCATTTCACCCCCCCACACTGTGCCTGACCCAACACTGCTGCGTGGTGCAAACCCTGCCCACATTCCCCAGCGTCTCAGCTCTGCTCCGGGCCCTGCAGGAAGCCCAGCAGAGCTGTGGCAAAGCTTCCATCCAAAACAACAGGAAACTTTTCAGTTTGCTCTGATTTGGACTAGCAGCTCCCATTTATGCTGGGGGAAGGCCGGCTCCATCCACACAGCCCTACAACCTAGGCTGCCCCTGCACGGCACTGAGCAGTGCTTTGGGAAATCAAAACCCTTCCCCTTGGATCTGCAGTGCTGCCCAAAGAGCAGATCTAGGAGCTGGGTTTTTCTCTTGTAGATTCCACGTGCTGGAAGCTGCTGGGACACACGGGGTTGTTCCCAACAGAGCTTTGGACCTGCCAACCCAGCACCACCTGACCCCAAGCTCCAGTAATAACTTACCACAACCCAAAGTCACCCACCAAGCTCTTCAAAATTCCATTTTGGGCAAGCCCTGAAGCTGACACCACCTCAGAGGCTACAGCCCTCCCCGTCAGCCCCCCAACTCACCTCTTTGGCCTTGCTGAGGATTTTCTCCACGAGGATGAGGTAGTTGCCAGCGTCTCGGCTCACCAGCTCCTGCAAGCTCCAGCAATTCAGGCACAGCCCGGCTGTGGGAAGACAGAGCCACCGTCACTCACAGCCTCCTCCAAGAAGCTCACAGGAGGGAGAAACAACAGGAAGGAGTTAGGGTGAAGGTTTTTGCTGCTTGTATCACATCATGGCAGAGGAAAAAGCCTCGTGTCTTCCTGGACAGATCTAACCTTGCCAAGTGGTGCTTTATCTCAGCAGCATCGCTTTGCACCCAAGCGCCTTCGTGCTCATGCAGCCCAAGGCACTGAGCTGGGTTGGACGCCTCTCCCCCGGGGAGACTGGGTAGTAGGCATGCCTGTGCCACCACATGCCTGCTCCTGAGGCCAGAGGAACGAGCATGGCATAGCTGGATGCCCACCTTCAGCCTGCCGGAGCACAGAAGCCTAATGCCTTGCACTGCTGCCCCAGCTGCACTATTTCAACTATAAGCTCATTCAAACCCTCCAAAATTCAGCTCCCTGTTGGGCACACATCCAACCCCCTCCAGCTACATCGCACCCGAGGGAAGATGCTGCATGCCCCTGACCAGCTTCCCCATGCCCTGGAGACGCACCATCACATCAGAATTGCGACAGTCAGAGCTCATACCAGCATCGTTGTTAAGCCTGCCCGGCATTTCATTCCACCTCTTAGAACCTTCAAGATTTCATTAAATATATTAAAACCCCACCAGAAGGGTAAAATATATTTCATTTAACAGATTAAAATGCCAGACTGAGGGAGGAGAACTGCCTTGCAAAAGGATGAAGGGTCTTTCACCCCAGTTCATTGAAGCCTCCCTGGCCTCCATCCCCGGACATCTGCCTCTTGCTGCTGGGACCCGTCCGGTGACAATGGCCCAAGGTGTTTCCCGAATCCCTCACTTTGCTTGGCCGCTGGGGCCACCTCCCAGATGGTCTTAGAGGAAATGATCTGCACAAAGGCTGCCAGGCGTCTCCATTCATCCCAGCCCTGCATCCCAGGGGAGGACGCGGCGCTTGTCGGCTTCGGCAGACCAGGATCTGCAGGCCAAGGAGACAGCAGCACCACCTCCTCCTCTTCCTCCTCCCTCCCAGGGACCCAGGCACTGCACGCAGCCCCACAGAGAAAAGTTATGGGGAAATTTCAAGCAAACAAGTATCTGAGAAGGGTCCATGGTTGCATCTCCCCCATCCCACATCACCATGGATTTTTTCACCAGGAGCGGATGCAGTGCAGATACCACACACAGCTCGGTCACATGGTGTGCTTCTGGGATGCTGGCATGGCGGCTCTTCCAAGCTCAGTCCAAAAGCAAAGCCAAAAGAAACACAACATCTCTCACTGCAGGGACGTGGGGCTAATGATCAGAGGCAAATTCAGCCGCTCTTCACTCACACGGTCTACTAAGTGGCACAGAAACATAATAAATACCAACCTATGCGTGTTGGCTGTCACGTTGGAGCTAACAAGGAAGAAACAATTCCATGAGCTGGCAAGGGGACAGCAGTATTCATCACAAACCTACAGGTCACGCTGTCTGTCCCTCAAACATCATTCCCAGCTGCAGAGGTTACAAATTCATCAAGCATACAGACAAGTAAATGCCATAAAAGTACCTTTACACACCTTCTACATGTTAAACAAGATGGATTTAAAGGAGAAACACGGCCCAGCTGCCCAAGTGGGAGAAGGATGATGCCAGGACAAGCAAAACTAGTGACAAGGTTGCACAAACAGCCTTCGCTTGTTCCCCCCTCTTGCCATGGACAGGCATTTGCTCACCAGGACACACACTGTTTCTGTGGCTTTGTGCCTAGCTTGTAGCTGAATTAACAGGGCAGCAGCTCTCCCCCATGGGAAAGCATCACCTCTCCGCCCTCCCCACCCCCCGCTGCCATGCAACTTTATACTTTCAATGAATCAACACTTTTCCAGCAGAGAAAGATCCTGCTGGAAAGTTTCCAAGCAGCTCAGATGCACTTGCTGTTAATTACAGCTGCAATGTTTAATTTGCCTCTGGCACTTCCATAGCAGTACCAGCATCTTGCTGGGTTTGCTGACACCCAGAGCACAACCTCAGATGGGGATAACCTGTCAGCAAGGGCACAGCAACCCGGTAACACGGCGCTGCTCCAGCTTTCCTTCGAGCCCCTTTCATGAGCCAGCGCAATGGCACAGAGCCGTGACTCTGCCTAGGATGACTGCAGCAGACTGCTCACAGAAAACAACGCTGTCCCAGAGCGCGGCACCCTCCAGGGAAAGCCCCAGCGCCTGCGAGACAGTCAAGAACGCAACCGACCCAGTAGAAGCACTCAGAGCTGCTGGGAGCTTGGCTGAAGAAGCGGCTGGGCTTAAGCGGTGTCTTGGAACAAGCCGTCATCTGCGGCCCCGAGAGAGGCCAGTCCCGCTGTGGCCACCCAGGGCGAAGCCTGGCTGTGCGGGGCAGGATCGGCGAGGGCAGCGGAGCTGAGCTCCGGCGCGGTGCATCGCCAGACGAGGAGAACGCCGCTTCCTGCGCGAGCGTAACCACAAATACAAATAGCCCAGCAAGACCCAGGCTCTTTCCTTCCTCTCACTTCTAGCGAGGGAGGAGGAAATTGCGGCGGCAGCGGCTCGCTGTGTTATTCTGTGCTGAATGGGGCAGAGGGAGAGGCGCTGGGCTGCTCCCCTGGGGAGGGAGCTGGGGCAAACCCACTGCAAATGGGCTGGGGGGACGGGTAGCAAGCAGGGACAAGGGCAGGGCTCGAGGGAAGGCTTACAAATATAATTTAGACCTGAGGTCTTCTGACCCATTTTTGGGTTTGTACAGTAACCGTGAGCTGAAGCATAAGGATGCAGACAGGTATATTTGAGTAACAACGCCATAAGCAGAATTTCTGTTTAACTCATAGTCATGGCAAGGCACTGGGATTACCCTGGGATTAAACCAAACGGTGCTGGGAGGCAGCAGGCTGCCAAGGGCTGAGCTCCTAAATTTGGCAAAGCAGCATTAACCAAAGATACACCAAAACAGCTGCATCCTTGCTATAAATAGTCTCGAGCACAAAATGCAGCTCGGAAATCCTGGACACAATACACAAAGACCATGCAGCAAAGTGAAGTGTTCGGCACTGCCAAGCATCAGTCAGGACAGGGCATTCAGACCTGGGTGGGAATTCCCTTCCTTCCACACACATTCCAGGTCATGACCACCCACTTTCTGACCGCTGGAAGCAGAGTTAGTCCCTGCAGCCATGCCCTCTGTATCCAGACTAAAAAGGTTATTTGGGCACGGAGGGTGATACACAGGTCAGGAAAAAAATCCCCAGATGACACTGAAAGCAGAGCAGAGCCACCTGCCTGCAAGGACCCCCTCTACCCCTCTGCAGATGTCCTGTATCCACCTGGGACACAGATGGCTGCTGCGGTAGCACTCAGGGCCTTTTATGAACTGCAGAGCATCACTTGGTTTATTCCCAGGTCAGGGAGAGGCTGCAGCCAGGTGAGAAACCACCTCCACAAAGTTTTATTTGCATCTACTTCACCTCAACACACCCGAGCAGATGCTCCACTGCTGGTTTGCTGTGACGGTAAATCATGCAGGGTCAGGCCACAGATCACAGGGGCAACCCAGCAGCATTGTTTTACCACAGGTCAGAGCAACCCAGAGAACCAAATCCAATCTGGGTTCATTTCGCTGTGCCAGGTATGCCCAAAACTAGCAGTGCCAGACCATGCTGGACACCCTCCCTGGCCCAGGGTGGACAGGGTAGGATGCGCACTGAGAGCTCGCAGAAAGACTGAAACTTTTCTCACCATGAGATGCAAGGGAAGCCCCAAATCTGCATGGAGTGCACAACTCAGGGATGCCCTGGGATGTCTCCTAAGGCGACCAGAGGAATACTCCCTGCCAAGCAAGCGGGTGTTGTGCTCCCCATTACCCCCTCTCTGTCAAGCCATATAAACACTGGAAAGTCCTGTGTTGTGGGAAAACACCTCACTCACCTGAACCCTATCAAGGCAGCGTCTGCAGAGCTCAGGCAGGTGCCTCTTGGCTGTGGGAATTTGGAAGCAAAATCATGCACACAAACTGCTCAATGTCTTAAAGGTGAGTGGTCCACATGGGAGCTGCGGGGTGATCTCCATCTCCGGAGGTGTTGAGATCAGCTTTTAAAGATGCACCCTGTGCAGGCAGCACAAACCAGAATTTCACTTTCCAGCCCATATATCCTATGAATTCATCACAAGAGGCCCTGGACACCTCCCAGCAAGGCAGCAGGAAGCCCCACAGCTAAAAAACTTTACATCCACCCTGCCCTCACGCTCATCTATCCAGTTTTGCTCCATTAAAAGAGCAACCCAGCACTATTTATTTTTAATTTATACATGGAGAACGAGTCAGATTTATCTGCCAGAAACACAGGCAGCCCAGAGCACATCGTGGCCCTGGCTGTGGGATGCTGGGGCTGCAACACAGGGAGCTGCAGCAGATGCAAGACTAAGCTGTACTATCCCGGTATCCTACACAGCATGCTTCGGCTGCGCTCAACATGACACCGACCCAAAGAAAAATCTCCCTCTGGGAGAGCAAAGCCTCCGAGCAGGAGCGCAGTGGCGGGCAGAGGCTGCAGCAGGAGCCCCGCACCGGGAGGGACTGGGTGCAGCACACGCTCTCGCTTTGATCGCTATCGGCGTCGACGACACTGCCGGCAGCGTGCCGGGAGCGGGCAGCAGCGGCCCTGTGGGCGGCCTCGGAAGGATGAGGCTTTGCGATTTCTTTTCTGAGAAGCGCACCGAGACGGCCTCCTCCCGGAGCGGCTCCTTCCTGATCTCGGTGGTTGACATTTCCCCTCCGCCGCTATTCACAGAGGGCAACTGTCAAGTCGGAAAAAGAAGAAACAAGGCAGAAATACCGCATGCCCAAGCTGCTGTCGCCCACGGCACTGGGCTGGGCATCGGCTCCCGCGGCTGTCAGAAGTGACACAGCTGGAGGGGTGACAAGCAGATGTCTGTTTCCTTCCTCCCCCAGACCCACTCCCACCATTTCCACTACACCCTCACCAAATAAGGCAGTTTTCTCCAAGGCACTGCCTGGACTCACAGTGGTTCGTAAGCAGGGGTTCGGAGATGCCCGAAGCGCCACAGTCACAGCATCCTCTTGGGATGCATCCCGCACCGCACAGCAGTCCAACCTGCAGCTCCCATTTCCAAGCAGCTGCTTAGAGCCCCTTGAGCAGGGCACAACAGCACCTCCCATGGCTGGAGCCACCCCAGCACATCGACCCAGCCTGGGCAGTGATTTCCACAAGAAAACCCACGGCAAGCCTGGAGAAATCCGTTCAAAGATTAAAATTTGCAAGGTTTAGTAACAGCGTACCTTAATTCTGCACTTAGAGCTGGAAGGATGTGAGACGTTGCATTTCACTCCTGGGTGACTAAGCTGGAGGACCCCCACATGCCTGAGTGCTGTTCTTTCCCCATGAGGGTATTCAGATGCTGCAATCGAGCAGGATCTTAAGCTTCGCTCTGTTAGAGCTGAGCAGAACGAACCCCCTGGGCCTCACCTAGGATGTATCATTGAAGACTCCTCTCCTCCAGCTCACCAGTGGCCTTCATCCATCCTCCCTCACCAGCATCCTTCATCCTCTCTGACTCATGCGCAGCCCTGTGGCAGACACACAACAGCTCCTTCCCACCCCTGGGACCTTTCAGGCTGTGGGCTGCCTTACAGCCCCCCCAGCAGCTCCCCATCCACTGTGGTCCTCCAGCCTTTCAACACACCCCTGACTCCCCAGCAGCCAGACCCAAGCCCAGCACTCTCCTTCACCAAGGGCTCCTGATTTCACTGCTCACCAGCAAGAAAGGTAATATTTTTCCACCTTTAGCACGTTCTGCTTTGACCATCATCTCTCTCCAGCAACACAGAGGAAGCTAAACCCTCTGAAGAGGTCTCCACAAGGAAAAGAAGGTTATCTTTCCTAGCACTTCTCTAACAGGTCTTTTTGTGAGTCAGAGACAATGAATTTTAAATTGGTTCCTTCAATAAACACTGCAGATGAGGAAAACTTATCTGTCTAGTTCCCAGAGCTGACCAAGGGCTCATCCAGGGCATAAATCTGATGGTCAAAGCACTCACACTTCTCTTTGCTGACTTCACAGATGTCAGCTACTCAGCCACTTATGGGGAGGGGACACACACACAACACACACCAACGCATCGGAAGTGATTACTCATCCACTCTGGAGCAATCTCCTGTAAAATTATCATGTAAAAATAAAGCACTAAATAATTTAAAAATTAAAACAAATCTAGCAAGGTCTCAGCCCACAAAAGCTGCCATGTGGTATGTGTGACTTTGGTGCACGGAAATGGTAAAAAAGGAGGGGAAAGCAAATAAATTGGGAAAGAGAAGTGATGTAAGAAGTTAAAAACGAGAAAGGAGAAGGCTACTGCACAATTAAGAACAAGATGGAGGGATTCACTGACTATATGAGGAACAGAGCCCTGCCATAAATAACAGCCTGCATCTGACACAGGACAGCAATAATTAAACCGTTGCTCATACCGTGGGGAAGGCAGAAGAATGTGAAAACATTTTTGCCTTGTTTTTGAAAAGAAACAGGAGTGTAGCTATACCTGTGCATTATGGTCTGTTTTCTGTTTTTGCAGCCCTGAAGAGAAGTACTCGGGGGTACTGGTAGACGAAAAGCTGAACGTGACCCGGCCGTGTGCACTGGCCGCCCAGAAAGCCAACTGTACCCTGAGCTGTATCAGGAGAAGTGTGGCAGCAGGTCAAGGGAGGGGATTCTCCCCCTCTGCTCTGCTCTTGTGAGACCCCACCTGGAATGCTGCGTCCAGCTGTGGAACCCTCAGCATCAGAAGGATATTGACTGGTTGGAGCAAGTCCAGAGGAGGCCACGGAGATGATCAGAGGGCTGGAGCCCCTCTGCCATGGGGACAGGCTGAGAGCGTTGGGCTTGTTCAGCCTGGAGAAGAGAAGGCTCCAGGGAGACCTTATTGAAGCCTTCCAGTGCCTGAAGGGGCTACAAGGAAGCTGGGGGGGACTTTTTACAAGGGCCTGTAGTGACAGGACAAGGCATGATGGGTTTAAACTGAAAGTGAGGAGATTTAGACAGGATATCAGGTAGAAAACCTTCCCGGAGAAGGTGGTGAAGCACTGGAACAGGTTGCCCAGAGAAGCTGTGGATGCCCCATCCCTGGAAGTGTCCAAGGCCAGGCTGGATGAGGCTTGGAGCAACCTGGTCTAGTGGAAGGTGTCCCTGCCCATGGCAGGGGGTTTGGAACTGGATGGTCTTTAAGGTCCCTTCCAACCCAAACCATTCTGTGATTCTATGATTCCCTAAATCACATATGTTACCATGATAACAAAATTCTCCCTACTCCAACTGCAAGTAGGATGCGAACTCTTGGAAGCAAACGTCAGTGGGGCTGGCCAGCCTATGCGTAAGAGCACTAAAGCCTCTGGCCAAGAGGGGCTGCCCAGAGCAGGACCCCAGGGCTGGGGCACAGCACAGCTCTTAACGTCAGACCCACCAATGACTGCAGCAACGGGGTTCGCCTGTCACGCTGAAGATTTTTGGCAACAGCACAAATGCTTTTGATGAAAGGGAATGTTCTGATGTGTAAAATGCCTGAAAAAAAAAAGGAATGCCAGGTCATTCTGCCAAATTCCTCAAAACCGGAGGACTGAAAGCCAGCAGGCCAAGAGATGGGAGAAAATCCTTAGAAATGAGGAATCGCTGGACAGCACAGCTGCTTCCACCAGAGCCCACCACCACCTGACCCCCACCCCATACAGTCTTGTCTTTGCTAATGAGGTGGAAAAATTATTAAGTCGTTTTTTTAAAGGCAACCCTAACACACACACCAGCACTGAAGGGCTAGGATTAGAGAAGGGCAGAGTTTGTGAGTGACACAGGAATTGATTAATTATAATTACAGGAAGAGGTGAGTTATGTGGCGCACAATTAATTGCTTGGCGAGATGGACTTCTTTGGACACGCGCTGTAACGATGCCAAACGCGAGGTCGCGCTTCCAGGAACCAGGAATGTCAGTCACACTTCAGGGCCTTTTTCCCAGAACATGGGGAGACCAAAAGGATCCAGGAGTCCTGGTCATAGCTGTGTGAACCAAGACCCAGGGTGATGCTACAGCGCAGGCAGCTGGCATCACTCTGGTGCGTGTGAGGAAGGGGGCATGGTGAGAGGGATCACTCCAGTGTTTGGCAGCAGGTAGGACACCGTTTGCATCTCTTCCTTGACTTATAGGTAAATGGAAAAGCAGAAGGGCTCGAAAGAACTGCATAAACAAAAGGAAATCTGGATTGGACAGCCCCCATTCATTTCTTTCTTCCACAAGAGGATTTGGGAGTGATTTAATTGCGGTCTACAAGTGCAAGTATGAGGGAGAGAGGTCAAAATTACACCCAAAAATGACTGCCTTTCATTGCTGCTTTGTCCTCACCAGCACCATCGCAAATCCTTCTGCGGCCCTCTGAACATGGGCCACATCTTTATGGCCACCATGGTATCTGATCTAGGTTTACATAAGACCGATAACAGTATCTCCACACTCGCCTCTGACAATGTGGCAGAGATTACGCCCATAGGTTTTGAGGACTGTATGCAGGACAGCGAGGCCAAGCTGGCTGACTACACAAAGGAGTCTTTCCTCGTGCTGAGGGAAGACTCCTCCCTCTTTCCAGCTCATGCACGGACAACTGGCACAACACACAGCTTCTCTGCTGAGCTTTACCTATGTAAGACCCAACAGGAGTCGTTCAGCATCTTGGTACATCTTCCTACTGCAGTGAGACACTTGGGAAGACTGACTGGGTTGGATCCCATGTCTAACGTAGAACGTTGGAAGGGAGAACAGGCCTCCACCCTCCAGTAGCACCAGGTGCCCAGGTAGGTCAGCAGATCATGCAGAGACAGAAGAGTCCCACCCCATCGAGGCTGTCAGGGGTCAGGCTTGTGACCAACAAGTTTGTGGTTAACAGATCACCTACCAGCCCATCTGCTGGAGACAGCATCTCTGCTAAGCCCATGAAGACACCTTTCCAGTGCATGGTAGATCCTGTCCTCTGTGCACGTCGTGTGCTGCATTTTAGTTCATCTCCTAAAGGGAAAGAAGGAAGAAAGTCAGTATACCAGGCCCTTAGTTAAGTGCATGGAAGGGAGCACAACGCTCCTACGGTGAAACACCACCCCATTACTGCCTCCTGACACACTTCCCAACCCCAAAGCCAACGACGTGCCCCGCTCTGCTAGCTGTCATCCTGCCCTCTACTCCCCAGATCACTCCCAAACCTGGCAAAGAAAAGGAGGAGCACACAAACCCGACCCAACCATGAGAGGCTGTGGGGCCAAGGCACTCTCCCCCTGACCTGCTGCAGGCATATCTGCCTTCCCACAACTTCCATCTGCAGGACAGGCCAAGTCTGGCTCACGTGTCTGTGGCAAGGAGGTAACCTTGGGTTAGCCTCCATCGAAGATAACACTGCAAGAGATTATAGCTGCAGCACCTTGTGATGGGTTTGGATGGGAATCATGGAACAGCCCAGGCTGGAAGGGATCCCAAAAGATCACCTTGTCTAAGCTGGGAAAAGTGATGGCAGAGCCCACGCTCCTACTCCTTGCGTTAGGCACAGATTGTCCTCGGTGGCTCTGAAGTCCACTGGTGATGGTCACAAACCCACTGCCAAGTCCAGCCTTGTACAGCCAGGAAAGCCTCGGCACTGTCACCTTGCTGCCAGACAGCCACCATGAAGAGGAGGTCCACGTGCCTTGTAGCAATGCAGGAAAACACAGAGGGACCTCAGCCCCAACATCCGAGGACATTGTGAAACCACGGATTGCGTGCCTGGCTGCAACCTTTTCACAACACGGCTCTGTGCATCTCACCTCTCCTCCACGGCTCAGGGTGCAAACCTAAATCTTGGGCTGGCAGAGACTGTGCCAGGGTGGCGAAGGAAGATTTTATCCCATCAAATTCAAATGTATTTTCATGGTGTCTGTCCAGAAGGTTTACTTCCCAGATCTGTCCTGACCATAAGCAGAGGTGCCCAGGCAGATTTCCCCTTCCCCTGCAGTGCCAGCCCTGGCATCCAGAGTGGCCCTGGGTCCGGCACCTCCCCTCTCCCAACACACAGGGAAGGGTTCATCCCACAGACAACACAATGTCTTGGTTAGAGGCAACACAAATGCATAAAAATAATCCAAGAAGAAGACATATAACCTGTCAATACTACAAAAGACACCTGACAAGGAGGCCTTTGCTTGCTTTCATCCCTACAGCACATCGCTTACTTATGCCACATGCCCAGGCAGTTCCCAACACTACCACAAAATGCTCAGTTCTCTGCTTATTTGGCCAACGTTTGATGCTCAGTATTCAGTGGCGGCTTCATCCAGCACATCTCCCCACCTCACCCTGGCAGGAGCAAGAGCCACTGTGATCTTGGCAGAGGCTTCACCCAGACCCCCTTCTTGGTGCACTCAGTATGGCCACCTCCACCCACGCTTAATTCCCAGCAACTCCTCCAAAAGGGCTCAGTAAAGCCGTGCCTGGCTGCTGGGGCTCCCCAAAAGGCTACCTCCAGCCCCACTGCCTGGACCTTCCTGCACTGGAGAGAAGCCACCAATGGCTCCAAACAGGTGAAAGCAAACCCAAAACGAGGAACCACTGACCTGTCAAATGAAGCTCTCTCCTCTACACCAAAGAGGTTCATGGGCTCCTGCCTCATGTCCTACTGCCACAGCCTGTTATTATGGTCTTCACCAAAAGTTTTATACATCCAGAGTGCACGAGGAACGCCCAAGAAATGCTCCGCTGCGGTGCCGAGGACTGAATGAGCGGGGAATCGGCACATCAGCACCTTAGTCATAACTTGTGGCGAGAGGAAAGCAGTGACTAAGAGCACAGCATGACTCATAAACACCCCTTACAACACCCCACTCGCAAAAATACACATCCCTGCACGTCAGCTTGTTTTAGGGCACAGCTTGGTCCTCTGAGGGGAACACGCTCCTCACCGCACACTCTGGGTGAGCCCAGTTTCCCAATGCCTCTCGTATCCCAGCACGGAACAGGCAGGGAATTTAAGGACAAAACATGACAGAATTGTTATCATAACTTTGAAACCACAAAACACAGTCTTTGGGTTTTGTTTTTCCTGGTGTGCTACGGACCACACACGAAACTAAACCACTTCTCCCAAGGCACTGCTTATGGAAGCATCTTTCATGGGAGAGGACTCAATTTGTCCACCACAACCGAGCGTAAACTTGTCAACCTCTTCTACTGTGTATTCCCCAAATTCTCCCTTCCTTCCCACCCACACTGAGCAAAATGACAAGGCAGGGACAGTTCTGGAGGACGTAATCAGACTTTCCAAGGAGCTCTGTGAAGCACCTCAAGAGCCCTGAGGTCAAAGTTTTTAATCAATGCTTTACAAGAGTTTATGAGGGTGTTAAGCAACTCTGTGGGGGAAAAAAAAAAAAAATTTGTCCCTTTATCATCTCCCTCCAGCTGGACATCCAGTAGAAGAGCTGCTAAACCAAGAGTTGCTTTGGCAAAACTGCAAGGTGCAAGGTATTGAAAGCAGGCGGATGGGATGGCACAGTCCCTGCACGGTGAACTGCCTGCGGTCACATTTCACAACACCGGGCCAAACGCTGCGAGCAGTCATGCCCTGGCCCCCTTTGGGGACACCCTCGTCACAAGGCTGGCTGCTGCTCTGCTCATTTCCAAGCAGAGGAACATGTTGCAAAAGTTGTGGGTTTCCCGGCCTTCTCCCCAGGTGCCAACCACACTTTCAAGAGAGAGCACAACCGCCACCCAAGGAAGGCAGATAGGTTTTGAAGGACCAATTGAGACGAAACAGCATGGAAGATAAGAAGAGACCTTCCAACATCAGATTGGCACAAATCTCCTGACAGCAGCTCTGCAGGCAACGCAACACGGCGCCCACACATCCATTCAGCCTCCATGCAAAGCACCTAGAGATATTGCTCCTAGGAGGCAGGAACAGAGAGGACACCACAGCAGTTGTGAGGAAAATCCTCAGGCAACGACTGAGCACCACCCCTGGAGAAGGCATGAACTCTCTCTTCAGAAAGCATGCTGCGTATGGAGAAGCGTGGCCAGATGGACTGCCACCCTTGCTCTGCACAGTCTTGGCGAGACTTGAGCAAAGCAAACAGAAGGGTTTTATCCCACCACAACTCACTGATGCACTGGACCCCAGTCCCTCAAAATCAAGCAATGGGACTTCAAGCCCTGGATGTGCTCCAAGATTAAAATAATTTCCCTTTTCCAGTACAGTTGCAAACCATGCAGTCACCATCTAAGAGGCAGAGAAGCCAATGTTTGGAAAAGCTACACAATTTTTCTGCTGTTCCACAGAGACTTGTAGCACAGCTGGGAGCAGAAGGCAAATCTCCAGCTCTCCAGGCATGTTCCTCACCCTCCTGCTACCTGCAGCACCGTCAGAAAGGACTGGACTTCTTGCAGGAAGACAGCTACATCTCACCTAGACAGAGATCACACTGTTCCGATCCGTACACTCAGTTGTCCAATCAAGACAAACATCTACGTCCCATGAAACACCTTCCTCTCTGTCTCTCCCATGCAGGATGGACGACTGCCCGCCCGCCGTCAGCCGGGAGCATCTGCAGACTGCTCCGATGGAGGTGGCAAGAGGAACTGACAGAGACCGAGAAGGGAACCGGGAACTCAGGAACCACAAGCGTGCTGATCCGGGCACAGGGAGGCATCTGGCTCACAAACAGCTCCGGGACAAGGCTGGCTCTCGTTAACGTTACATCATGCCGGTAAGGTTACGGCACTCTTGGCCACAGTGGTGACAACATGTAATCCTTCTGGTTTTAAGAATCCCATGTTCTGAGGGAAACCAATTTGCCTCGATGTTTTGCCTTGTTTTCGACAAATTGCTGACAGTTAGCAACACCATGAGCATGGGGTAAAGTTGAACCTACCCCCTCAGAAGATGTGATCACCCAAAAGGCACCTGATCCTTTCCTAACAAGACAAACAATTATCAAAGTGAGTGAGAAAAAGGTGTAACGTGCCAAAGGTCTGTTTGGAAAGTATCTAAGGAGTATTTGTGAAATTGTCCCAGCACCTTGCATGGATGCGAGATTTTTGGAGAATTTTCATCTGAGATTGTTTAGTTCTTAGCCTGCCTTCATCTCCGTCACAGTTAAAAAGGTGGGCTGATAAATTATGATTTTCCTGTTAACTAACCTCAAGTAGGTAAACATTTATCCCTTGGTGGAAAGCAAGAATTTGCTGATCATTGGTTTTAGGGCTTGTCCTCCTGCTTTGAGGCACAAGGTTTGCAAAAATCCCAAAGTTTTCAAAGAATATAAAAAAAACCCACAACCATAAAAAAGGAATATATTTTTCTGCTGGGCTGTGAAGCCCAAGGCCACAGGGAGCCCTCAGGGTGTCTCAGCTCCATGACAGGGGCTTTCCACTCTGCTGGGACAGGCTGTGGTTCCCCCACTTGCCTTCACCACCCTAGGACCCTTCACTTTCACAGCTTTTCTCCTGCTCAGTATCAGAGCAAAGGAGAACACCTCAACTCCTTCATGCTCAGGATGATCCTGCCCCAGGAGCAGAGGGTCCCTCTGCACACAGCAGCCAAGCCAAGGAGATGACTGAGGCCATTAGCAGTTCCCACATGGTTGAGACAGGGCACATGAGAGGGGAATCAGGGGTCAAATTGGCTTTTCTGCAAGGAGAAGCACTTTTCTTGTATTAAGGTCCATGTAAGTCCTATCTCCCAACATCTAAAGGACTTCTCTGATCTCCTCCAGCAGTGTTGGAGCCTGGGTCACCACCATTAGATGGAAACAGAGGGAGAGATCACAAAGATCAAGTCTAAAGCTGGTGTTTGCGAATAAAGTAGCGAAGGGAATTAGACTCCCCCTCCTAGGACACCAGCCACCTCCGATCCAACTGGCAGGGCAAATTCCTGACCGTTCATCCCAGCCAGCTCCAGTATGATGCCCCGGAGAAGCACCACCCTAGCCAGCATGCTGCCCTGCTCTAATCCGCTCCCCCCAAGAGAGGAAACCTA